CGTTCTTTTTTGCATTCGGTGAAAAATATCTTTTGCGGCATCGGAACAACAATGTTTTCTTATTGATATATAGTTCATTTCTACATTTCTCACAATTATTGTTATTTGTTTTAAATTTTTTTGGCAAATCTGTATTATTTTATGTTTAAAAATATATTACGTTACAATTTATTAATATTTATTTATTTCTTTTTTTAATTATATAAACCTTGCTTTGCGTAGACACAGGGTATTCCGCCCCCCGCAGGGGGGCGGAATACCCTGTGTCTACGCAAAGCAAGGTCCATAATTATACTATTTTATATGGGTTTGCGACTTGCAATTTATGATTATCCGCGCACAATTCTGTTACAACGCATGCGCGCCTGACCGCAGCGTATGCTCACATCGCTATAATTCGTCAAAGTGACAGGTTTTTCTAACCTGAAAAGTCGTCAACTTTGACGCTTAATATCTCGTCTCCTGGGACAGAGCGACATTTTAGTGAAAGGAAAAAGTTTAAAAAAAAAAAAACGCATCGAATGAGACCAGTTGGGTCAAAATCGGAGGTGACGTGGGTATTCTGCATAATTACCCAAATGTCCTTTCCACCTCCCCAGACCCTCTTAAAGGTAAAACTGTTTTAGTTACTTATTTCAGAAAATATTCATTGTACGGAAAAAAGTTGTCAAACAAAAAATGAAGCTCATACAAAGCTCTACAAATAAGGTCCTATACATATTTTACCTAACTCCAATATTATATATCAGCCAAATCGGAAGTAGCTTTTCGGAAGTCCACCCATAAACATATATCTTACGCTTTTTACGCTTGTTAAAATTTTATTGGAATTTAATTGAGTACCAAAATTAATAGAATTTTATGCTAATGGTTGTTTGTCTTATCGGATGTAATAATAAAAAAAACTAAAAGCGACAACTTTCAATAAGAAAACTAACTGCATTTATGCAAAACATCTTATGGCAAACAACTCAATACCGGAAATGCGGACATTTCGGTAGAAAAGGCCCTGAGCATTATATTATTTTTCTCTTCTTTCATAAGACGTTTGAGTGAAAGATGGCTAGTTTCTTTGGAGAGACTGTATTTCCACCATCACGAGCATTTTTGGATGATAAAGACGAATATGAAGTGATAGATTCTGAACCATGTTTGTGAGTTGCAATTACGATGCTAATGTATTGTCAGATTATTTTCTGATTAAAACTTATATAAAATTTTTATTAAAATACAAATAAATTGATGTTCTGCATATTTACTGATATTTCACAATTGATTGTTGTTTCAGAAAATTACATGTTCGTTGGGTAAAAAATAAACCAACACATATGCGAAAGTTTATCTTAATGGAAGGAGATTCCTTAATTTGTAATGTATTCTGTTACAATATGACAGTGTTTTAGATTATCTGTTTTATTTATATCTTATTAAAATATTTTGGTTTTGTTTTAGCTTTTATGCAACAATACTTGTTGTACAAATTGGAAGAAGCATGTATCATAGAAAATGAAAATGGTACAAAAGTTTCTACCATCTATCATCAAACTGATAAAGATATATATTTGTGTATAATATTGCCAGGATTTGATATAAAAGTTGCAGGAAAATTTATAAAGGAGGTAAATATTTTATTAACTATAATTATCTAGTAATTTTAATATATATTTAATAAATCTAACTGCAATATATATTTATTTTTTATAGATATCTGATTTATTACTGGGTGCAAATAGTATAATTTCAATAGTGTGCAACCATGTGTCACGGTTTAAAAGTACGAATGTTCCAGAAATTCCATCATTTTTGAGAATATTAGTCACCAGAAAGGCACATGATATTACTGAACTTGATCGTAACATTAAATCATTAGAACAACCAAATCTTATATTTGGAGTTGGTGCAGGAGGTTAGTATTTGTTTTATACACGATAAACATGTAAAGCATATTAAATATAAATATTCTACTAAAAAATAAAAATTATCTATTTGTTTCAGTTCTATCATATTCTGAACTTAGACAGATGTCAGCTAAATTATATATATTATATATCGACAGTTTAGCAATGGATTCCAAATGTGCAGAACCAATTTTACAAGTATTAAATAATGAAATGCATTGTGAATTACAACCTAAATTTGTAGACAATTTTTTCAGCAAAGGAAATCTTTATATGTAAAATCTTTCAGTTTATTATTCTGTAAGTACTAATTCTAAAACTAATTAAGTAAAAACTAAAAGCTCTTCATATATAATTGAAATCATATATAATTAAAAAAAAAAATGAGAAACAAGAAACTTTTCAATCTGATCTCTCACAAAGAGACCGGCTATGTGCCTTTACTAAGCAACAGCAAAGTAAAAAAGTACAATTACATGTTTTATTAATTTTATCTTTGAATCAAGTCTGTTGGTTAACTTGCAGAGGTAATATTGAGAGTGAGCAATCTTTTAAAAGTAGAAAAAATTATATATGTTATTGACAACAAAAAGTAATAGAAAGATGCAAAATTTAAATAAATATATTTTGCTAATTTTATCTTTAATTAACAACGCTTAAATCGATACAGTTTATACTGAAGAATATACATGATACATAGTTTTTCATTGTGGTTGTGGGGGATAATAGCTTCATGGCGGTGCAGCTGGTGGTATTGGATTGCTGGGAAATATGACGCGTTTGTGGGATAGGAATAAGGCTGAAAAGTGGTTTGGTTAGTGGTCGTTGCCGATGGTGGTAGGACGAATAGTAGTGGACGACCCAATATGATGTATTGTTGGCACAATATGATTCATTGTATTTACAGGAGGTGAAACATTAGCAGATGGAATTTTTTTATCTTTAATTCTAAATTTTTTTCTATTTTTGATCATCCAATCTTGTTTCATCTTTAAAAAAAAATTCACAATCTGTTTCTATTGTTAATAATTCCGCATCTTCTTCTATATTTAATAATTTTAACTGTGTTTCTATTGTTAATAATTCCGTATCTTCTTTTATATTTAATAATTCAAAATCTGTAAAAAAATAACAAAATAAAAAAAATATACATCAATTAAACAAACAAGACTTTTCATAAAATGTATATAGCAAATAACATTTGGTAACTAAATATCATTTTTTAGACTGACTATTTGGTCGCGCTAAAAGTATTTACTCAAAATTCTTGTATCACATTTCTAGGCACTAATTGATGCATATAATGAGATGACCATCACTATACTTCATTTTCTGATATTTTAGTATTTCATTACTACATTTAGTATTTTATTATTACATTTGAATAACAATACGATTCTACTTACCTGAGTAGTTGTGCCTGCTGCAGTCGTTGCAATTACTGCTGTTTAACTTATGTTTGATAGAAGAGCAGTACGGAACAAGGCACTTGGTCTTTTGGCAGTGTTTCGCGTGATAGTAGAAGAGAACAGCCAATTGTTTACATAGCAGGCAGCTACCATTGGCCTTTCTCTTACAGTTCTTTGTGTGCATCATCACTTGCTTCACCTTTGGACAGGTAGATAGAGTACAATTTGTGTGTCTGCATTGGCATGCATGCACGAATGTTTGAATGCATCTCTGTATCGAAAGTTGTAAGTCTGCAGTCTCTGTATTGCGAGAATGAGAAAGTAAATGTGATTGTCAAAAGTTGATCGCAATTATTATTTTGGTAATTATACAGTATCGCTACCTCACCTCCGATTTTGATCCAATTAAGCTTATTCGATGCGTTTTTGTGTGAAATAAAATTTTTCTATCTGAAAAAAGTGTCGCTCTGCCCCGCGAAGCGAGATATTTAGCGTTAAAAGTTGACAACTTTACAGGTTAGGAAACCTTTATACGGACGAAGTACAGTGACGGAAGGGGCGGGGGGAGGGTGGGCGGAACACACTGCCTCCACGCATAAATATTCCACGCGAAGCGAGGTTCTACATGGGTTTGCAACTTTCCACGCGAGGTTTTTGATTTTGTAAAAAACCACCACCCCCCTTCGAAAGGGCTCCACCATCAAAAAAACTATACACACAGGGTCTGGATTGAATCTCGTTTTGCGTAAAAATTCGTAAACCCATGTGAAATCTCGCTTCGCGTGGAAAGTGTATGCGTGGAGGCAATGTATTCCGTCTCAGTATTGCTACACTTCGTTCGTATGATAGGTTTTGGCTCCGGCCATAAATGGCGGGAGCACAGACTTTTGCATAAAGCATAACGCATAAGCATAAGGAAATTGATTGGTCCGTTTCCTTATGCATTTGCTTATGCTTATATATAAGCCGAGAGCACAAGCTTTTACATAAAGCATAACGCATAAGCATAAGGAAATTGATTGGTCCATTTCCTTATGCATTTGCTTATGCTTATATATAGACCAATCAATTTC